GGTGACAAAATTTGCGCCCATCAAACCTGGTGACAAAATCTGGGCCTGCTTGAGTGTCAAAAGGGTTGAACGCGAGTTCCCTCGAGAGAAATGGGCACAGAGAAATGGACACCCGGGCGCAATTTTTGTCACCAGGGTTGATGGGACCCGTGTACACCGCGTGTGGAGGGTCGTCGAGTATGCCACGCGTCGCAGCTTGCCAGAGAGGGCCAGCCAGACGCTGCGAGGACACCGCGCCACCAGGACCAGCCAGACGCTGGCGCTGCGTGGACCCAGCGCCACCAGGACGAGAAGGACAACGTGCCCCATGAGCTCATGGGCCTGCACGCGCAGTTCGTCAAGATCCAGGAGAAGAAGCAGGAGCTCCTGGAGGAGGAAGGCAACACCGTCGACGATGAGTGAATGAAGCTGTCCAAGGAGCGTAAGCGCTGGCCCAGCAGCCGTGTCAACATGAAGGGCGAGAACGAGCTGTGGCGCGATGAGGACAGTTGTTACGAGCAGGAGGATGCGTACGTGTGCCTGGAGGCCGAGGCTCGCCAGACGAAGGTCAAGATCATCGCGGCCGACCTGCTCGCGCGGCGCAGATATGCACTGCCGCACGTCCGGCGTGACCGGCCACTACGCTAACAACGACGCTCACGCCTTGGATATCGCGCGGCGCTTTGTCAGCAACCTCAACTACCGCAAGCAGCCTTTCGTCACGCAGACGCCGGTCGAGGAGCCGCTGTACTCGCCGGACGAGCTTGGCGGCGTCATTCCTGTAGACTCCCGCAAGCCGTTTGACGTGAGGAAGGTCATTGCCCGCATCGTGGACGGCAGTCGTTTCGACGAGTTCAAGAAGGAGTACGGCCCCATCATGGTCACGGGCTTCGCGCGCTTGTACGGGAACCCAGTGGGTATTGTGGCCAACTATGACATCTTGTTCTCCGAGTTCTCCGTCAAGGCCGCTCACTTCATCGAGTTGTGCAGCCAGCGCGGGCTTTATGGTGGGTAAGAAGGCCGAGCACGGCGGTATCGCCAAGGACGGTGACATGATGGTAAAGGCCGTCTCGAACGATGTGCCCAAGATCACGTGCATCATTGGCGGGTCGTACGATGCAGGCAACTACGGTATGTGCGGTCGAGCGTTCTCGTCGCGCTTCCTGTACATGTGGCTGAACGCCCGCATCTCCGTCATGGGCGGAGAGCAGGCTGCCGGTGTGTTGGCAGAGATGCAGCGTGACAACTACGAGCGCCGCAAAGAGAACTGATCCGCCGAGGAGGAGGCAGCCTTCAAGCAGCACACTTTGAACAAGTACGAGCGCGAGAGCTTGGCGTACTACTCGACGGCCCGCATTTGGTACGACGGTATCATCGATCACCCAGTTCAACAAGCTCATCGACAAGGAGACGAAGCTCCTGCTGGACGAGGAGGCCAAGCGTGAGGAGAAGATCTGCCTTCACACGGAGCTGATGAACAACGCTGGCTACTGAGTCCTCGACTCGCTACATGAGCACTCAAAGGTGGAGGCGAGACTTCGGATCCAGCAGGCCGTGCGTACTGCCGACTTGCAGAAGTTGGTGTTTACTCAGGCACCGCGTGATCCACCAAGAGGAGCGTAACGACCGTGCTAAGGACCTGAATGGATCGTCGCGTCGGTAGAAGGGCGACAAGTCTGACATTAAGAGCGTCGGTGGTCTGCACGTGGACCAAGGAGTCTCCTTGAAGGAGACAGGTCGAGTACGTGTAGAAGCCGCAGGAGAAAGACGAGGAAAACAGCCATGGTAACGGATGAAATCTGATATAATGAAATTATGGGAAGTTTTCAATCTCGGCTAACATATACTTTATTATTACTTGAAGTACTTTATATATATAAGTATGGAGTTTCTTGGGTACGTTCCAACGCTTCGGACAGAGGAGGCATGGTTCCATCTTGAGGTAGATCGGCTCGTTGCACTTGCAGAATAAGACCTTGATCTCGTTAGCCAGGATGGCGGGGCGCTTCTGCATGATCAGGTTATGTTGCGCAGCGCCACGTACTGGATCTCAGGCTCCGCGGACAGCAGCGTGATGAGGGGCGGGGCCATCTCGGACAAGCTCCTCTCGATGTCCGCGTCCGAGACGTTCTCCAGGAACTTCATAATAACCTTCACAGCGGACAACACCACAGCCGAGTTGGCGTGCTGCAGTCTGGACGTGACGCATTCAATCATGTCCTCGGCTTCTTTGGCATATACCCAACCAGCGCGTCCAGCTCGAAAACCTGTCCCCACTCGTTGTACTCGTTAACCGCCGCGAGCAGCTTCTGCAGCACGGAGGGCCTGGTGACGCGTGCAGCGCTGGACGAGCGAGCGCGTACGGGCGTTCATCTCCGTCTTGAGCGCGAGCAGGTCGGCCGCGATGATCTTGACCTTCGTCTGGCGAGCCTCGGCCTCCAGGCACACGTACGCATCCTCCTGCTCGTAACAACTGTCCTCATCGCGCCACAGCTCGTTCTCGCCCTTCATGTTGACACGGCTGCTGGGCCAGCGCTTACGCTCCTTGGACAGCTTCATTCACTCATCGTCGACGGTGTTGCCTTCCTCCTCCAGGAGCTCCTGCTTCTTCTCCTGGATCTTGACGAACTGCGCGTGCAGGCCCATGAGCTCATGGGGCACGTTGTCCTTCTCGTCCTGGTGGCGCTGGGTCCACGCAGCGCCAGCGTCTGGCTGGTCCTGGTGGCGCGGTGTCCTCGCAGCTCCTTGGCGTCGCTTTGTCTTGCGCCGTCTTGGTTGTGCTGGAACGATAGCACAGGCTTTTTAGAAACGAAAGCAGTATAGAAACGCTGTACCATACATTTGGTACTAAAGGGTGCAACTGCCGGGGACCATCGACACGTCATCTGTGCAAGGTTTTTTGTTTGGATTTAACCTCGTTGATGCACTACGCGAGCTTTCATTTTGATTTTTTAAAAGCGGTATGGACCTGAAAGTGCTGGACGAGCTGCGCGCCAATCTACGCGCAGCCAGGAAAGACGCTCGAAACGCCCGGGCCGAGGCTAATACGATACGCGCCGAGGCCAAAAGAAGTATTCAGGAGATTAATGATCGACTTGAGGAGTCACGGGCAGAGATAGCCGCCGTAAGAGAAGATGGAAATCGTCGACTTGAGGAAGCTGATCGTCATCTTCGCCAACAGATCGCTGCTGCTCGCCAGGAGACTGCTGTTGCTCGTCAAGAGACTGCTGCTGTACGGGAGCAAGCTCAGCATCAGTTTGCAGAACATCGCCAAGAGATCGCTGCTGCGCGCCAAGAGGCTGCTGCTGCCCGTTCTTCTGATGCTCTCGCCGCTTCCCGTCACGAAGAGCTACTGACTGAAATTCGGAAGCTTAGAGAACTGCTGAACTGGAAGTCCCGGACGTCCACTCGCAATCCTCAGAAGACCGACCTGACGCACGAGTTCATTATTATGGCTGGACGCAAAAAACACATTGCCGACTCGAAGAAGGTGGAACACATCCCAAAGTACGACCCCGAAACAAGGAGAGCACGAGACCGCATCACCACAAACCAGACGCCAACGTTACGAGATGGTGAGTTCATTCGAATGAGCGTTTTGTCTCGTCAGACGAGAACGGCGGAGAGGGCGATCCGTGAGCATGAAAAGAATGGCGAGTTCCTGCTCCAGCGAGGGTACATGGCCAACGGCATCGATTTACGCCAGAATATTAAGGCTGCCGGCAAGCGCACATACAGTGAGGTAATAGATCTGGCGGGCAACGGCAAACGAAGGAGACGCACTCTTGTTAACTAATAATCAACCACTTTTTTAGAGAAACCGTCGGCGCAGTGGACGAAAGCGCATGAACAGTGATGCTCGCTACATCTACTGGTACGCGGGTTGCAATGGGTGGGTCGACATTTGGCACACGCTGATATTGCACATTCGCGAGGCGACCACGGGGGTCCCTTCGTTGCTGGATCAAGACGACTATGAGCGCTCTGCGCCGTGCTCTCGGTGAGTAACTAATGGGTAGTCAGCACAGGACATGGTTTGCTTGATGCCGTGTCCTTGACCACGCCTGAGAGGCTGCATACGTTGGAACGCAGGGACGGGAGGGATGACGATAGCGGCAGAAGTATGGCCTACAGCCTACAGTTCCTACCCGTGTTGGTTATGTTTTGAATTTCCAATTGATTTTTTTTACCACAAGACATGGGTACGGCATCTACATGTAGAACGCCACATTATAGTATAGGAAGATTTTTAAATGGGTTTTATGCAGAACAGGTCTTAGATTTGATCAGAGCGTACGTTTTCTTTGAACTTGTGGTTTGATCACATCTGTCATGCTTTGACGACGTAGGTCGCCTCACTCCACAACGAAACTGAGCGGAGCGACTGCCGTGGTGGCTGCTGGGAAGCCCAGCTCCCTCAGTCATCCAACCCCGCGACGGACCGAGCCGCCGCGGTGCCTGGGTTGCAGCCCAAGCGACCCCCGCTACGGAATCCGTCGATAGACGACCCCCAACGCTGTCCGCTCGACTCTCAAGACTGTTTGAGTGCCATCTCGGCTGGGCCAGCACTGCTCGCAGATACCCGTGTGCTGCGAGGTCCTGGTCGACTATTACGACGACCCGCGCAAGGTGAGCGCCGTGGACAAGAACGCCAAGGATGTGGGCACGGGCTCTGTGTGGGTACGCCCCTGCCTGCGGCGACGTGATGAAGCTGTACCTCCGTATGGACGAACACGACACCATTGTCGACTCGTTGTCCACGACAATCAGCTGCGGTGCGGTTGGGCGATTGTGTTCTCCTCGGTGACCACGGTTCAAGGGCAAGCGCGTGGAAGAGCTTCAAGATCAAGAACAAGAACATCGCGTCGGATCTGAAGCTGGCGCCCGTCAAGCTGCACTACAGCATGCTGATGAAGGACGCCAGCAAGATCAGCATTTCGGACTACCAAGCGCAGGTGGGGCGGACGGGCGGGCGTGTACTTCAGCATGAAGTCAGCTGTCTTGAGCCATGTCGTCTCCAACGACGAGTACGCGATCGACCGCCAGGAAGTGGCTTATGGCTTCGACGGGTCAACTCTGCCTCGCACCACGTGCAGCACGACATGCTGCGCTATGCAAGCTGTGCTATTTGGTGGTCGAAGACACGGAAAGTGACGTGGTGCTGAGGCAGACGCTGTCCGTCGCGGTAACTACAGGTGACGCGCCGACCGGCAGGCGAAGGCGCTCTAGATGCCCTGTGAGTGCGGAGCACGCCAAGTCCACGGAGATTATCCGGGTGCATTGCTGCTGTTCCTGCTGTTCAAATTCGCATAGCTCGCCGCTGCCGTGCTCCGAGTCGAGCGCCAACGCGCGCACTTTGGCCGTCACTGTGAGCGAGCCTGGCACCCACGTATCGATGCCCACGACACCCCTATGGTGCGCGTCAGGCGGTGCGTGATGTGCACGCGGAGCCCAACGAGGTGTGCGCGCAGTCGGAGAGCCCGGCTCGGACGGCTCGAATACGCGCAAGCGCTGCTGCTGCTGCTGCTGGTCCTGCTTCTGCTGCTGGTCGGCCAGGGTTGTTCACAGTGCAGCGTCTTAGCTTCGGAGAGGTTGTTACCTTGCTGCGGCTGTGGTACCTCGCTACGAATTGAAGCGCTTTTTTCTTCCAGCCAAGCAGGAGTGAGGCTTGTCTTGTGGGCCACAAGACCACAAGTTGTAGGCTAGCTAGACTACACAATTCTAAAGTATATGTACCACATACATGCTGTGGTAGTAGGTAAACTAAGTTAACGAGTTGTGTGTCAGTTACCTGTGGAGTATCGATGTTGAGAGTGTGAAAGGAAACCACTGGTTTCAAACCAGCCCAAGTGTGCGCAGCGCACCGTGCACTGCTTTGACTGAAAGGCACCTACGGTACTCAGTGTACAGTGCAGTAGTCGCGAATGGGATACAATTGAGCACCACCCATAGAAGCATGAACAGCGTGTGCTATTGCAGCTAATGAATCTTGCTGTCAAGAGAAGTTGGGAAGGGAGGCATGTTTGATTAGTAGCTGATAGTACAAGTAGCAGTAGTGGCAATGATTTTGAACACAACCCAATGCCAAATACCTCATGCACACCTCTCCACCTAGAGAGAGCACAACGAAGTGTTGCTAGAACAGGAAGCCGAACGGGGCACACGCGCTGAGGAACTAAGTCATGTCATGATCCTAAGCTGTGAATGTTTGGCTCAGGTCTTTCGTTTTGGTCTCACAATCAGCATGTTCAAATCCTGGACCTGATCTGCATACTAAATGCAGTGAAGAAGCGCAGATTGTTTTTTTTTACTTCAACATTGCTTTTGAAGACGAGCTTTGGCCATGCGTTGGCTTTCGTGGGATAACTAGCCTTTTGTGCGGTAAATGATCTGTGCGGTAAAGCTATTCATATGACTCATTCCTCGATTTTCTTCAGAAGCCGCACCCAGTCGTCCTACGGTCGAGTTTCTCGTGGTCGGGAGGGGGCAGGGAGGTGCCCGGGTGGAAACCTTGCGTGTAGCTCTGAGTTCGTCGCGAGTGGCTGCTGCTGGTGGTGGTGTGGCCGCTGCCGACGGCACTTTTGCTGAAGACTGGCTTGAACCGCCCGGACTCGCGCAGGATGTCCGAGTAGTAGTCGAGCTCTTCCTGGTTCCACTGCATATCCCTCGCGTTAGCGGCGCTTGCTCGCTCGACGAACGAGGCCAGACCATCGAGGTTCTCTGGTAGATCTGGAGGGGCCGGAAGCCACGCGTCCGAGTTGACTTGGGAGAAGTCGTGCGAGTGCGGGGACGACGACGAACTGCTGCTGCTCTGCTGGAAACCTGAATAGCTGGAGGTTGACACGTAATTGGAGCCGCCGGGCAATTCGTTCAGACTGCAGACGTAGAACTTCTACGATACGACTCGTATTGTGGGTCAGCTTGGAATCGGGTGGTGCTGACGACGGCGAACCAGACCTGCACGTCGCTGACGGACGAGTCGATATGGCTTGCTCAGCCGGTTGGGCTGGTGGTGGCGAGTGATTTTCGCGCAATGTTGTCGAGTCTCGAGAATGACCAGCTTGCCTGGAACTTGCTGGCTTTGGAGGGTTCCGCGTGAGTGTGGTTGGCTCATGTTCGTCGATATCCCAGACGTTTCTGGTTTCGGATTCACCTTGTTGAGCTTTTGTCTTGCATTGCCAAGCTGCAGACTTCAACCCAAAGAACTTGTAGAAGGCCCCACACGAGTTGAAGGGGAGACTATGGAGTACGCGCATCTGATCTGGTGTAGACTCTTCAATTGAACTTCGATTGATTGGGCCAATGCTACGCTACGGGGGCCTGTCGACGCTTCTGCTTGGTGGAGTTGTGGTGTGGTTACTACAGAAGCTGAGCACTTTGGTTGGTTGCTCAACTGAGAATGGACGAGTTGACACGCACTGGCGCATGGTCGCCAACTGAATCGGTGGGTTGTGCTTGTGACTTGCACGCTCGGGTGTTCCCGTCCGCGTGGTGTTCACTGGCGCCAACGCAAGGCAGACAATGGCAGTCCATGCTTCAAGGAGGTGTCAGTCGATGAACATTGAGCTGGTGCCTCAAGCCGCCAGGCGCTTCGATGCCGCGAGTATTGGTTGGTGGGGGCAACGGTACACCTCGACAGGCATGGCGTGGTCTGATAACGACGCAGGAATAGCGTTGAACCAGCATAGTCGTCGCTGTGGCTGCACGTCAACCGGAACGGGTGGTGGGGGCTTGCCAGGAGAAGCCTCTGCGACTGGATGAAGTCATTTCGGAATCGGCGCCGTCGACGACAAGACATCAAGCCCGGCCAGCCGCTCAAGTCGCGTTCAAGCCCTGCGATGGCCGCGCTGTTGTGCCAAGTGCTGCCTCGACCACTCTCCGACGACAGTAAGTACTGCGTCGATGCGTCTCTCTCTCCTGTGCTGCCACAGATGAAGGTCGAACTAATCGACACCGTTGCTCTGCTGTGCAGCATGAAACCGATCCGGTCAAGGTGGGCGACATGGTGCTGCTGCCGGACGGCCTCATCCGCCTCACGTGCACGGCCGTGGGCCAGGGCGAGATCACGTGCCAGATCAAGAAGACAGAGGAGATCGGCAGTCCCAGAGGCGTGAACCTGCTCGGTCTCGTAGTGGAACTACCGGCGCTGTTGGAGAAGGACACCCGCGACCTGGACTGGGGCGTGGAGCACGACATCGACTTCGTCGCGGCGTCCTTCATCCGCAAGGCCAGTGAAGTACAAGAGATCCGCCCGTTCATTCGTAGACGAGTGCACTGGCCGCTCGAGCCCAAGTTCGTCGCGCCCAAGAACTCTTCAAGGTGGAGAGCCTGGAGGGCGTGCAGAACTTCAAGAAGATCCTCGAGGCCTCGCAATGTGCCGTTCCTGCTTACGAATATGATCATCGACCGCTCCCGGAGCGGTCGATGATCGTATTCTTGTCCGTCCATCTGATCTGGTTGGCTCCTCTAGATGCCGTCATTGTAGCCGTAGCCGTCGTAGCCGTAGCCGTCGTAGCCGTATCCGGGGCCGTACACGCCCACACCAGGGCCGTAGACGCCCAGACCACCCACGCCGATGTCTGCAACACCGGGGACGCCAACGCCAACGAACGGGCCGCCGACCAGCGTCTGGGCCACTTGCACCTCTGCCTTGACTCTGGTTGAGAGGACCACGGCGGCGATGCACTTGAAGAAGATCTTGGTGCTGCTGAGCATGGTGATTGTAGACGGAAAACTGGGCCGGGGTCCGAAGAGCTTGTCGAAGAGGGTCAGCTAGTGGAGAGTCGCCTCGCGTGTTTTGTTAACGCTCGAGGGTGAATCGAAGAATGAGGCATGAGCTCAGGAGCGCGTTGGCCGACTCGACACACAGGTAGCAGCCGAAAAGCCGCGCAGAGGTGCTGCCAACGAAAAGCTCGTGCAGAACGCGGCATGGTACGGTATCTATTGACGATGACTATGTTGACCATCTTGTCAGCGTAGAGCTCGTGCTGTTCACCAGGGCTCCCCGAGTTGACGGATGTCGGTGATTTGTGGGGTCGGTTCATCTGATTCATTTCCTCGATTTGAAGTCAATTTCAACTTACGGCATACACAGTTCAGTACAAATGGAGACCAAGAAAGAAGGTAATACAAAAGCACCTACTTGGAGTAGATTCGACGTCCCCCCTTCAGCACGGACTAACGCAATGCACCGTCATCGTAACACAGTGAAGATGTATTACACGCAGTGTCAATTGTCCCCAACTCATATTGATGGTTGTTGCTGCATTAAATTAACCGACCGGCACATGTACATGTATATTATACATGTACAGTATTTCGAAAACTCCAAAGTCAGTGCTGCAAAATGGCAATGGCAATGGTAACGGCAGTAATCTGGGCCAAGAGCACCAGAACACTTCGTCATCCCCACCACCCTCGCCTCCCACAGCTAATTCGCAAACTCCTGCTTTTTTTGTGATCGATGGCTGGCGTATCCGTTGCCAGGATCGTACTACCCAACGCGTGCGCTATTTGAGACGAGTTTCCGAGGTTGAGGCCTTCATCGAGCAGTTCTACGCGCATTGCGTTGCGCTGGAAATCGCCGATCGAGTGCGGATGTGTGCGGATGAGCCGCGCGATGTGGCCGTATTTCACGAACAGCTTCGCTTCATGCAGCGCCTGGCGCCCAATTTCCGCATCAAGCTGGCAGTGAACCATTCCGAGTTTTTCTCTCCGGCTTACGCGCCGCCTCAAGTGGCCGACTACGTCCCGCTGCTACCACTGGCATGCGCTGATCTGGAGGTAACGCGACGTCTGGCTAATGATGCTCGCGCCCGTGGAGGCCATGTCTGCTGGTACGTCTGCTGCGGACCAGCGCTCCCCAACCAATTCGTATCGTCGCCACTGGTGGAAGGCGAGCTCGTCAGGTACCTCACATTCTTCTTCGAGCTTGACGGATTCCTGCGGTGGAACTACTGCCTCTGGCCATCCAGACCCTGGGACGACCTTCGATGGCGCGCTCCGATGTGGAAGGTCGTCGACATGTATTTCGTGCTTCCAGGTCGTGATGGTTGGTCCGTCGAGACGCTTCACCTCGAGTCTTTGCGGTTTGCTGGCCAAGCCTTCAAGCTGCTGGTCCTCGCCCAAGTAAAGCTAGCTCCAACTCAGATGCAGCAATTGCAGCGCACGGTGGCGGAGCAGATCCTGCGGTCAAGCGACTTGGAAGAGTTTGGCCGTTGTGGGGACCGAGCCCGTGAAGATCTGTACTCGCTGAACCCACTGGACTACCAATCTGATAACAACGTTCTGCAGTTGAACCACTGAAGTCTGCTTCCAGGCTGCACGACAACGACAACGGGTGGTGTGGGGGCTTGCGAGCAGAAGTAGCTCAGACACCGACACGGAGCGGATGAGGATCACTCCGAAATCGCCGACATCAGCGACACATCCAGCCCAGCCAGCACCGTTTCCACCATCCTGCGGGGGCGCGCGGACGAGAGGTCTGCGCGGGCGCCAACTTCGTGCATGTCGAGCGCGACGAAGACAAGCTAAAGCTATGCACCGGGCTGCACGCCCACGGCCAAAGTACTGGACAGCAGAAGTTCAAGTTGGAGAATCGCAAGACACTGGCGCGGACCCGACAGTGAAGCTCCATGGCACGGCTGAAGGAGACTGGCGACGCCTCCGACTCGGTCGCCGACAAGCAAGCTGGTGCACAGCAGACAGCGTCAAGATCCAGTTCGGCTCGCCCAAGCCGGACGTCGAGATGACCGTGCCCGTCACCACCACCAAGTTCAGCGTGTCGCTCATGGTCGTAGTCACCGCCGCAAGCTACACGGCCCATTAGCGATCGCAAGTCCGCGGCCACGAAGTCGTCACCGAAATGCAGTCGGCAGTTGGCTCTGAGGTCACGGCCTCATGTATCGTAGCTTCTAATCCGATAATACATAGTGTCAGAACGTTATGCGCTAGTTCTGTTAGCGTTTTGCTACAGCTCGCCCAGTCAACTGAAAGCTGGTGTAGCTTCGGTGTGCTTGCTCTCAGAGACTGCTGCTAACGCCTCGATAACATGCTGCGGGCGTACCAGGCCCTGCACAGTGCATAATTTGCTGATGCAATACATGCACATAGCATAGCATTAGGGACATGCACATTTCACTTGCGTTTAGTATGCACGAAGTTGAAGTTTGCGAGACAGATAGATGTGGATACATTTGTGTATTGTACATGAATGGCACGCCCCCCCAATCTTTCCGACAAGCAGGACGGTGGCGTCAATTAAAGAGCTTGATCATTAAACCACTTCTCGAGAAATTTGGCGCACTATCAGGCCTCCAAGTGCAGCCTCAAAAGAGTGTCCTGATCGGTATTAACACAGCGAAGGCTCCAGCACGCTGGCAGGGGTTTCCAGTATTAGCACCCACAGCGACAACCCGGCAACTGGGATACTGGGTCGGCAACCATGACACCAACGAGCTCAACTGGACCATTCGCATTGAGAGCATTCAACGACGACTTCGCATCGCAGCTACCATGGGAAACTCTATCACCCAGAGAGTAACCCTTTTCAATGCGATTGCACTTCCAGCGATCCTCTACATGGGGAAGTAGTTTATACCGTCAAAGGAAATGCTGCGAGAACTTACGAGGCTGCAGAAGGGATTCATATGGGCGGCTACCACAAGAACGGAACCCGTAAGTCACAAGTTAAACCCAGCTCTCGTCTACACCCCGCATCAATACGGGGCCTCGGGCTTCAGGATATCGCGACCGCACTTACGGTCGCACGGAGCAACTTGGCGGACACATGGCTCCACTCTGCGGATGATGTCTACTTCGCAGCATGGCATGCATTGGTGCACCCCGAGCAACAACGGTTGGGTAATCTTGAGTCTTGAGAGGTCGTCCTTTGGCGTCTAGGATGCAAGCGTTGTTGTCCCATGGCGCATTCAGCATGAAATCTGCATGGACCGGTGGATTGGCTTGCCATGGTGCATCACTTGTTTCTACGAGCACCTCTGCTGAGTCTTCTCCTATCCAACAGCAATTGGAGACTTCCGGCCCGGATGACAGCGAGTTTGTAAGTCTGGTCAGTGTCTCCGTGGACGGAACTAAAAGCCGTGAGTGCACTTCACAAAGCTCAAGTTTTCCGAGCTGTTACGCTGAAATCTGTGGTTGTCCAGACCGTTCCCGCAGTGCTGCCGCGATCATGGCCGGTGATGTAGGTCGGAAAGCACAGCATAAAGCTGATCGGGACATCAGCATCATGCTTCCAAGTGGACGCAGCTCAGGATCGACCGCAGGAACCCTCATCAGACCAGCCCGAACGACAAGCAGAAAGCTCCAACATGTACTTGATTGGTGCAAGATCATCGTACATAACATTCCATGGAACTACTGGGCCATTCCTGATCGACAATTGCGGCTTCTGGAACTCCCCACGCTCTTTCTGGACTGGGCTTGGAATATTTCTTCCAGCAGCAGCTTAGTAACTGCATCATACACTACTGGAGGAGCCATACGACCAGCGCTAACACTCCAGCGGAACACGGACGGACGGACCTGGCATATAGCAACCACCGCCGCGGGCATTGAGGCCTCGGCGGATATTGCCGCTCTTAAAGCGTGGGAGCGAATGAGAGGACTGGTGCTACATCCGACGCCACGCACCGCACTTTACCCATGGGAGGTGCCAACAAATACCCGAGGCCTCTTGGTCACTGCAGCACTCCGCAAGCAGCGCTCCAGAACAATACGACTCAAACTGCTACACCCGCTGCAGCCTATCCTTGACAAGCTCCTCTGGAGACAGCAACACTCTACGTGGGGCAAAGCTGCTCTGCAACAGAGCCCCACCCAGCTCTGGCAATCGCGAGGACTTTTCACGGAGTATCAATGCTGGACTATTTACCGTATCACAATCGGAGAGCTCAACCTCTTCCACTCAGGATGGCCAATGCATCGTGATTGTCCAGAACCCACGTGCTCATGCCAAGCCGAAACAATCGATCACATCGTATGGACTTGCGAGAAGGCCCAACTAGCTTGGCAACGCTGGGTTTCGAAGTGGCTCGGCAGAGCATGTCCACTCAGCGAAATGACAAAACTTCAAGCAGCACTTGCAACGCGAACAGCTCCAGGCACGACCCATGACTTTTTAGCACACGCACAACACTGTATACCAGCCTGGACACCCCACCACGATGAAGCAATGACGACGATATGGCGGGTCTGGGCCACAGTGACTCCTGTTTTGCTGTGGCGCCTGAGAAACGATGCTGTCTTCAACAATGAACGAACTTCCCCGAGTGACACCAGCGCTGCAGTCTGGTCAGCAGGAATCTACCAACTGCAAGCAATTGGAGCGGCCTGGAAGAAATCGAACAAGACCCGAATCAAGGCATGGTGTTTAGAAACATGCTTAAGCATTTTGACGACAGTGGACACCAGCACTGGGACGCCAGCCATCGAGCATTGGCTGCTACGATGTGCAATTAGCACACCGAAGCAAGCAACCGCAGGCGGAGGGTGGATCCTGTATCAGCAACTGCGGGACGGGTTCTGGGCAGTCCACAGAGCAGGCAGTATGGGAACGCAACTGGTAACTCCAGTCGAGAGAACACACGACAGGTCATCATCCAGGCACTCCAGGAACTCCTCCACGTCGCCACACCCGCAACCACCTACGTTCGCATAGAAGGTCACATGAACATTATCGGAGTCCAAGCGCGATGTACTCCACGGAAGACGGACACCACTCACCCAGACTCGCTTGCAGAGCTCCTCGGCCAGCTCTTCAGCGTGCATTGGGGCAAACCACCACTACAGCAGCTGCGCCCAGCGACTCTTCTGGCGAAGATCCGAACGACCACGACCTACGACTTCCGATGCATGACACCAGAGGCAGCGCTCACACCGCTACGAACGGCAAGGGATCTTCAACCTTGCTTTGCCACCCCCACCAGACAGCCGGTCGGATCAATCCAGTCACGACATATTGCATATCAGGCTACTATAGGACAAAAATAACCCTCAAATAGAGCCTTAACTCCCCCCCTCCGACAAGCAGGACGGACGCCATCGGCTCGAATGGTCAGGTCGATGAGGGCAGCGCAAGGAGCGACACCTGCAGTCCGCGCTGCTGCGAGCGAGTGAGCAAGAGCATGGACAACAGGCGTGCGACCACTGACTGACTGCCCGACCGACTGACTGCCCGACCGACTGACTGCCCGAAAGAATCGGCCATTTCTTCTTCACTACGTTAGTGAAGAAATGGCCGAATCTTTCTTCGAGGTGCTGCCGGGTGGGTGGGTCACTGCTATTGCTGTCGGTCCTGCTGCCCGACGACCGCCATCCAATGGCATGCGGCGGGCCCAGACGAACCGAGCCGAGCCGAGCCTCCCCCCGACTGTGTCGGCCCGGATTGACGCCCGGGCGCACGGCTACGGCAGCAAAAGATCACATTGGACGGGGAAATCTTCCTGTTTAGCAGAAAATGGCTCGAAACCCCGCCATATCTGCTGCTTCAGATGCCAGAGTCTCACAAACTACCAGGTTTTAGCGCAGGATTGCTGAGA